GGGGGGGGGGTGATGATGATAATTTCCTCACCTTTCTCTATCGTCTAGGCAAGGGTGATGTCATCCTCTTTCCGATCGGAGCTCAGAGAACGTTGAGTAGCCCAAATCTCCTGAGAAAATGATCCTGCACTGTGCCGAGATTTGGGCTATTCGGCATTGCATTGCTGGGTATATAATCAGGAGGAGGATGACATCACCTACGCCACTGTGGAACTCGGAGAAAGGCAAGTATGTGATCTATTCCTCCCCATAGGTATTTTTATGCAGTGCAGGGGTGGAGGGCACCTAAAATAAGTGGACCTTGCCACCAAGGTGGAAGGTCAGCTTTAAGTCATGGACCTGTGGGGGGCGAATACATAATATACTCACCTTTCCCTGACTCCCACAGTGGAAGGGGTGAGGTCATCCTCCTACCAACAAGATACCTGGGAATACTTAATAGCCCAAATCTCAGCACAGTGCAGGATCATCTTCTCAGGAGATTTGGGCTACTCAACATTCTCCAAGATCTGGCCAGAAGAAGGATGACCTACCCTGGCCCAGATGCTGCAGGAGGAACATGGGGAAAGGCAAGTATAATATCTAACCAGCCACCCCCTTAGTGAAAGGGGGAGAAATGGGGAAGAAAAGAAAACTAAAAGGCAGAGAGGCAAGATAAATATTTTAGGAAGAGAGAGGGAGCAAGTGTGCAAAGAGTACATTAGTATCTGCACTTCATACACAACCAATACCATGGAAAGCAGACTTTATGTATACTGGCTGTCTGAGCGGCTTTGCGGACAGAAAACATCTGCATGCATGAATGCCGACAAGTACAAACACGCATGTTGTGCACATCCTGTACCAAGCTTGAGTGCACCCTTCCTTCCTTTGATGTCTATCAATACCATTTGCTAATTTGTACGCAAGATTACTCACCACCGTTCACAATGATAAGATCGTTTATGTAACTTCGTAATGTAAATATTTGCATATGCTTGGACACGCCCCCTACTGCCCACATGACAAGGCTCACTGCCAAGGCACAGAGCACTGCATTGTAGGAGGTGGGAACGGGTGTGCCTATTCCCTCCATAACAGGTTTACCTGGGAGACACACTACATGCATCTTTATGGTGTTTTCTATGCAATGCTAAGGTTTATTTTTCTTACTTTAAAAGTTATTATGTACTAGAATCATTGGTGGGTAAGTCTAGCCTTCCAGTTAATGTGGAACTACAAATCCCATGGGGCATTGCAAGACTGACAGCCACAGACTCTAAGACGCATGGTGGCATGTGTGTTTAAAGCACAGCTGGAGGGCCGGAGTTGCCCACCCCTGTAACAGAACATCCAAACTCCCAAAAATTAAATCATGTGATAGGCTTTCAGCTATTTCACGTACACTGAAGGGAGTCAGTAGCAGCACTTTCTCCAGGAAAGCCAAGCAATCTGCCCTGTATTAGTCTCGCTTTATCCTTTAGCTTTCCATCAACATTTCAGTCCAAATCAAAGTGTACCCATTCTTCTAGAATGCTATCCTGACCCCCCACACACACACCCAAGTGCCTGTATGTAGGTTTAAATTTATTTCCCCGAGCACAATATAGGGGTGCTTTATAATGCAGTTTGTGACCACATTTTGCATTTTCATGCTCCGGCCACCACTGCACCTTCTACTCCTTTGTCTTTACATTTCATAGACGGTAACAATGGTTAATGGGGAGGTATGGAAGTGATCCAGAGTGTGGCTATGCCCGCTGTGGTTGCAGTTTGGAGTAACAGAAAGCTTACCTTACCATACGGGTTTGCTTTAAAGCCTTGAATCTCAACTGGTGGGTGCGCAGGATTGTGCCTGTGGTTGTGTGCGTCTGTCAATGTTTTTGAGGGCCTTGCGATTAACGCACTGTGTCGTGCAACGGCACCTACCGTACACTCTGCTGTGGGAGGTGTGTTGCATTGCCATTCATTTCAATGGCACCCCAAACGCGCCTCCCTCCCACAGCTCGATTGCCTGCACCGGCACAAGTGCTACCGCAATGCCGCACGCTCCATTGCAGTGCGACTTGGGTCACGACTTCATGACCAAGGCCAAATGTGGTTCCTGAGGTTACACAGGTAGAGAACCACTGCTTTAAAAGCAAGCCGGTCAGCCTACTTTTACCTTGATCAGCCAGAAAAGCCTCTTTTGTGCACCCCTCTGATCATGGTTCCACTTTGTTCTTAAGTTCAACTTCCCCAAGACAAGCCAAGCCCTAAGACAAGCTTTCTGGAGCTCCTGAAGTCCCTTTACACCCACACTATTCCTGTCCACCCTTGTTGGTAACTTAAGTTTATTAAATAAGGGGTAAGAGGTAGTTGGTGTTTGCTCGCGAAAGCGGTAAACTCTCCCTCTAGAGCCAAAGGTCATGAATACCTAGAGATGCTTAAGGCAAATTTAGCACCATCAGAATGCACCGGATAACTTGACAATAACTAATTTGTATATCTACATAAAAAAAAGCAAATAAACGCTTTTATGCGTTACAAGGTTTACGTGGACCTATATGGGTTGGACTTGATGGACGTATGTCTTTATTCAACCCCAAATACTATGTAAGGTTTTAATAAAACCCTGCTCTTTTATATTATAGGCTGACAAGTGTGCAAACATTTTCATCCTTTTTAAATGCTGTAATTGCCTCTGACATTTACAGTATTAAACAAAATACACCTACTGGCTGAAGTGGTATTGACAGACTTGTTTCGTCCAGCCTGCATGGAATCACCATGTTATAGGTGACATAGCCAACACATGATCAGTAACCACTCTGATTGGTTTCAAATAGATAACGGGGACCTGAGCTGTCAGGGACAGCCAGATTTGAGAGCTAGCAGCTGTGCAAAGTGTCATCACCTAGCTCTGGAAAGGTGAGAGGACGTTTCCTCAGCGTGGGGGATTGTAAGGACTGCCAATATACAGATAAAAGGAAAGGAATTATCTGAAAGTCGGGGAACTTAAAAGAGAACTATGGGGTAAGTGTTTTTCCAAATAGTTCTCTTAAGGGTCACAGGAGGACATATACTAGCGTCCTGCTGTGTCCCAAAGCTCACTATATAGGAAGCTACAGCTCACTATATACTGAGAGCGCCGCAGCCGGGACAGATCCTGACAATGCTGTCGAGATCCACCCAGCTGCGTGAGTGACAGCTGGCTCTGCCTATCTAGAGGCAGACCCAGCTGTGCCCGCCCCCTCCCCCGTCCGTTCTGCCAGTCAGCGCTGGAGGATCGGAGCGGGGAGGTGGGGAATCCCTGCGGGGAGCTGTGACTGACCGTCACTGCTCTCTGCAGGGAGATGATAGAGAAGTGAGCGAGCGACGGTATGCCCTCGCTCACTTCCCGATATTGAGCCGACGTGTGACAATTTCATTGTCACACGTCAGCTCCAACTATGAGGCGGAGTGATTTTCACTCACCTCATAGTTCTCCTTTCAGCCCTTAATAAGCAGAGTGAAACCAGTCTCAGAGAGGCACACACAGGTGTGTTACCTTCATAGATAAGACATTTACCTTCAGCAGTTTAAAATTATTAAAACATATCCATTTTAAAGTTTAGTTGACCCGTCATAGTAATCAAAAATTAATGATAAAAAATAATTTATTATGGGATAAAGAAAGAGACATAATGTGGAACTATATGAAAGCATTTCAGAAACCTTGGAAGTCCTTTATTTATTGAATGCCATTCCTCCTGCTACCATCAGGAAGCATGAAAGTGTCATTCCAATCAATGTACATCGACCAATTACTTGGTAGCTCCCCACTAAACACATTTTTTCTTTTTTTTTTTTATGTGATGGCTCAAGCTGCTTGAGGCAATATGCTACTGCAGCAAAATGGCCGATTCCCGCAGCCTCATTTTGCTCACGTGTACCAAAATGTTCAACAACACAATGTTTGTCAAGGATAACTATTGCTATAAGCAGACAGGTCCTCTTCCTAATATTAAAAAAAAATATATTAGGGAGGTGTTAAAAAAAGTGCCACAGCGAGGCTATTCTTGAAAAGTAGAAATAGAAAAAAAAAAAAAAGTTCACAGCGCACGATTCCGGCAATAAATATAAAAAACAAAAAAAACATGGCTTCCATGTTTTTCTTCCTCCAATGAAAAGGTGTGTTGAAGGCTCCAGGCCCCCCGGACACCCTCTCGCCGCACGTTCAATGTATCTGCAAGTAATAGGGAATGCTGTAGTTGAAGAGTAGAAAGTCCATCTTGTACAAGTTGAAAAGACGCCGTTGGTAGAAGCGGGTGATTCCTTTGAAGAACTGTGCCGTCATGCCGTCGGTGGTCCGCGTGGTTTTGGAAGAAGATGGGAATTTGATCGAGTCGCCTATGCCGATGAGCTGAAGGAGGTATTCGGCATCCTCCTCTAAAGTCTCGTATTTCCCTACCACGTCATACTGGACGATGCATGGGTGGCACAAGGAATGGACCCGCTCCCAGTGCTCATTAAACGGCTCCTCTCTTTGAGTCTGGGGGTCAACCAGATAATAGAGGAACTCTTCAAAACTGACGTCATCCCCCCGCTCAAGTGCCTCGAGCGAAGGATCCCTGCGATGGCGCTCTATGATCTTGGTGCCGTAACGCTTGTGGAAGGCCGTGTTGTACGTCCGGGTAAACTTGTTCCTGTAGGCTGAAACCAGCCTCTCGAAAGGCTCCCTTACGAAGATGAACTTGAGGTAGTTCCGCAGGCGGTAATTGATCTCCGGGGTGCTGAACTCGGAGAGAGTGCGGAGGTTGGATGCAATGTGGGCCTCGTTGGCTGGTATGAGGGCAGGGTCATTATATTTGCCTTGGCCGGTGAGGACCATCATGACCCTCTTCCAGTTGGTGCAGGCCACCTTAGGCACGTAGCAATAAATCAACCCATGGGTGTCGTCCACGACCAGGTGTTTGAGGTCATCGGCAGTCAGGACGCGGCGTTTACGGGTGTACGTCTTGCAGGCGCTGGCCAGCAGCTCCCGACGCTTTTGGTGTGTAGCCTGGATAGTAGAGGGTTCAACCTGGAACAAGTGACATGGGAAGAAGGAAAAAAAAAATAAGTTCACAAAATATACAAATTATATAAATATATATTTTTTCCAATAAAAAAAAGGTCAAAAAAAAATCACTCCATGGTATACCGGTAGATTCATGCTGCTGATCAGGGCCGGATTTCCCACAAGGCCAACCAAGGCCCGGCCGTGGGGCAGCAGGGTGTAGAGGGGCAGCAGGGGTGTGGAATTCCTATCTCCTGATGCCATTGGACATGCAGTTCCGGGTGTCGAGCGGGCAGTTGTTTTCTACATTTAGCCCTCCCTCTTTCCATTCTCCATGGGGGGGTGGGGGAGGGGTTTGGTGTGTAGGAGGGCGTATTGAGAAACCTTGCCTTGGTGCAGCAGAGAGACTAAATCCGGCCCTGCTGGTGATCGCATTTCTAATATAAATCTGCAGATCTTTTATCATTCACACTGTAATCGGCCGGCATGTACAGCTTTGTGCTGCGTGCACGGCCGTACCAAGCAGCTCCCGGGAAGGACAGGTGCTGGGTGTGATTAGTACGCAGCCCCCGTCCTTCTCTATGGGGCTACACAGCCATACACCCACCTACGCTCACCTCAAGTGCAGGTCCGTACGGGTGCGTATTTTCCGGCTCAGATGCAGACAGGATCCATCCTGTCAGAGTACGAGTACGCTCACCCGCAGAGACGTGCAGGGTGGGTGAGAGAGTGCGGCCGTGTAGTCCCATAGAGAAGGACGTGGGCTGCGTACTAATCACACGCAGCACCTATCCTTCCCGGGAGCTGCCCAATATGGCCGTACATGCAACACAGAGCAGTCTGTGCCAGCCGATTACAGTGTGAATGAGGGCATAGTGACAATACTCTCCCAATCATGCTCCTTTGTTGTCACGCTGTCATGTGTGCCCCTGGTGGAGACAAGAAGCAGCCGAGCGCACACACATGACCGTCAGGAGGTCGTATCAGAACACGGATGTTCAGCAGATCCTGAGTGAGTACATGTAGACAAGAAGTTGATAGAGGCTGAAAGAGTTTAATAGCTCTGAGATGTAACGGATGGAAAAAAAAAGGAAGCAGTATTTTCTAAAAAGGCAAAACATGGCAATTGTTCATGATGCACAAGCCAAATGGTCATCCAGTTAGGTACTTTAACGGAGAACTATGGGGTGAGGGCTTTTCCCCATAGTTCTCCTAAGGCTAACGGGAGGACAAAAACTAGCGTCCTCCCTTCACCGCAAGCTCAGCATACCGCGAGCTACAGCTCGGGTATATTGAGACGCCGCAGCTGCAGCGGATCCCGACAATTATGTCTGGATCCGCCCAGCTGCGTGAGTGACAGCTGGCTCTGCGTATCTAGAGGCAGAGCCAGCTGTACCCGCCCCCTCCCCCGTCCGTTCCCCCAGTCAGCGCTGGAGGATCGGAGCGGGGAGGGGGGAATCCACGGCTCTGTGCCGTGACAGGATCGAGAGGTGAGCGAACGCCGGTATGTGTTCGCTCACTTCCCGATCTACTGAGCCAACGTGTGACAGTTTCATTGTCACAGGTCGGCTAGAACTATGAGGATGAGTGAAAAGCACTCACCTCATAGTTCTCCTTTAAGGGGAAAAATAAGGAGGGGGTTTGAAGAAATAAAAGAGTTTGATGCCAATGTATTGCTAAAGAGATAAAATACAGAATGAAGTTAAAATTAAACCCCAACTCTTGCAGTGCGGGGAAGCCCCATTGCAAATGTAATTTCGTATTTTCCTGGAGTTCCACTTTAAATCCACCATCTTAACGAACTTTTGTAAATTATGTTGAGTGGGCCTTGAACTCAAATACCTATATATATCTACCACAGACAAGAGGAAGCAGGCAAATGACAGATGAATGTGTCAGAACACACTTCCTCCTGCGATCAGATTCTGTGTGGAAAATGAGACATCCCGGAAACTATCACGTGGACTGAAAATAAAACTTTTTTTTTTAGTCATTCCTAGAACCGGTCATCGAAATTAAAAGAGACCTTTTTATGCCTTTTAAAATAAAAAATTCTAAATGTGAGGTTCTCTGAGGGCATCAACCTCTTTCCACACTTCCCATACTGTCAGTGGTAGTGCTCGACCGATGGGAATAGGAATTAAATCTAAAAAAAAAGGAACGTTCTCCTGATTGTCCAGGAAGTCGGCTGTATGCAGATTTGCCGGGAAGCCAGCTACCCAGCCAATCAGTATTGAGCTGACTTCGTGGCCAAAAAAAAAAGGCTTTTTGTGAATGGGCGAGGAGAGAGGAGGGGGCAGGTGTGTGACTGGATGCCGTTCACTGTCGCAGCACCGAAAATACAGAGCTCTGTGTACGAGCTGGCTTGTAGCAAGGTATTATTTTTATACAAGCAGCAGTTCTCCACACCCATTATATTTATCATTGGGACTAATGCACATAATTTGTGAGGTTTGTAAAACAAATTTTTTCTCCCCCCAGTATTCAACTTTAACCTTTTTTTTTGTTGTTATCCTGTTCATTAATTTTTTTTGGTGGTACACTTAAAAGGAGAACTATGGGGTAAGTGTTTTTCCCCATAGTTCTCCTAAGGGTCACGGGAGGACACAAACTAGCGTCCTCCCGTGACCCAAAGCTCAGTATAATCGGCAGCTACAGATCACGGTATACTGAGACCGCTGGGACGGATCCTGACATTACTGTCGAGATCCACCCAGCTGTGTGAGTGACAGCTGGCTCTGCCTATCTAGAGGCAGAGCCAGCTGTGCCCGCCCCCCTCCCCCGTCCGTTCCGCCACTCAGCGCTGGAGAATCGGAGCGGGAAGGGGGAGAATCCCTGCAGTGAGCCGTGAGTGACAGTAAAGGCTCTCTGCAGGGAGATGATCGAGAAGTGAGCGAGCGACGGTATGCGTTCGCTCACTTCCCAATCTATTGAGCCGACCTGTGACAGTTTTCACACGCCGGCTCGAACTATGAGGTTGAGTGAAAATCACTTACCTCATAGTTCTCCTTTAAGAAGAAACATTTTTTTTAATTAAAAAGCCTTCATTCCATTTGTAAGTAAACTTTGTAGGAGAATCTAATATTTTAAAAGTGGGATAAAAAAATAGAATAAAAACATATACATTTATCTAATTGTAATCAAATTTTTTTTACATTCGTAATCAAAAAAGTACACAAAAAAATGTGATTTATTGATAGCTTTGTGACACATTTTTGTCTATGGGTGGCATAAAAAATAAAATCATTTTTGCAAGACAATATATCTAAAACCTTGTTTGTTGTAGAAAAAGGGGGAATTATAGTATATCATTATTTTTTTCTTTTTAAATTGGTTATCCTAAGTGATGACACAAGTATTGCTGAATAAATTGGTTCATAGCAGAAATGTAAAACTTGCTCGTCTGTAAGGGGTGTACAGGAGGTATAAGCTGAACTGGTTAAGTTTTAATAATAATAAATAATAAACAATAAACAACTAGAACAAATAATAACAATAATATTATTTATATATTTACCAAGTGTATGCTGGTTACCTCCTGGAGGATTCCCTCATTGAATAAAAGCGTCACTGAAGGAAATGTCACCCACCTGTTCGCTGTCATATAAAGCCTGCAGAGGACTTCTCCTTGGTTTCCCTTTCCAGATGCTGGCAGTGACATGTTCCTCAGCTTGAAAATGTAAAAAAGGAGAAAACAATAATACATTATAAAAGGAGGGCGATTAAACAATTCCCAATCATTTAAATTTGTCGGGATCTCCAACCACCTGACTTCCGGTTTAGTTAGAAGTAATATAAAGTATTATAATGAACTAGGGTCAGACTAATACAGCACGTTATGAATCTGAGTTGCCCCACTTAATATGGCCGCCGCTTGCGTCAATAACGTGCTTGATTAGTCTGACCCTAGTTCATTATAATAATTTATTGCTGTGTAGTATGTGTGTAGGGAAATGCCGCGGGTGGCGCACGTGCCGTACAGCCTTCTCGGCCAAACCTATCTAGAGGTCCAAAATGGCTGGAGAATTTACTTGGCTGCTTCTTTACACTCTTTGTCCCCACCAGAAATGTCACCCTCACTCCAGCCTCAAAGACAAAATTGTTGTCAGGATAGGAAATAGTGTGAAAACTCCCCAATGGGGGGGCAAACAAAAAAAAACCACGAACATGAATAGCAAAATTTGCTTTAAATTCCTAGTGCTGCCATACAGACAGCTGTCCATCTGAATTTTGCCTTGCGCAGATTCTTTGGAAAATCAGCAAACCAGAAAATGTCCGCTGCGCCACAGACATCCGTGTGACAGTAACATCCAAAATA